CCACTTCCGGCTTTTTTCTTTTTGCTTATGTGGTGCTACGGAATCGAACCCAGGGCCTCAGGCATGCAAGGCAAGCGCTCTACCACTGAGCCACCTTCCCAGCCCACAATTTTAATTGTTAAAACAATGAAGCAATTAGAAATGTTACTTGAAGCTGACACCACTGGTTCATTCATATTACTGTAACTACTCAGGAACCTAAAATTTGAGGATTATGTTTCAAAGCAGCAGACAAGCCCATGAGATTCTAACCACCATTAACCATGAAAAGCCAGAAATAGAGTTGTAGACTAAGTGGTAGAGCACCAGTGAAAAAGCTAAGGGACACTAAGGGACAGTGCCCAGACCCTGAATTCAAGCCTCAGTACTGGCACCTCAAAGAAGAAAAGAAAAGGAAAGAAAGGAAGTAAAGGGAAGAGGCTGGAGGGAAGAAAGGGGAAAGATTGACAGAATTTATTTACATGTTTCCCAGGTTCCTAACAGAATCACCTCCATCTATTTTTCATTTATACTTTAGTGAATAGTGACACAATAGATATTTGTAGATTTTTTTCTAATAGGATTTAGGAGTTTTTACCAATTTGTCTCAGTCTTTATTTGTAAGAGTTATGGCATCTAACTGTTTTTTTACTTTCTTCCTCAGTGGCTTGCTTTCTTTTAATGATAATTTGTAGATCCTCTTTGCTGTTCACTTATAACAACTTTATCCATTTCAAGAGTATCATTCACTTATTTTTTTGCAAATTATAATAATTTTTAAAGATATTTTGAAATACAGTGGTTACCCTAATCAGATTTATAGGCTAGCTGGGCAGTAGTTAGGTGACAGAGAAGAAGGTGTCAGTAGAAGGGCCTCCCTTAAGGGTGGACAGTACATGACTTGATTTCCACAAATGTTTGAAAACATAGGGATAAAAGGAAATAATACATGCTTTAGAAACTGAACAGAATTGGAAGTGACTGAACTAGATTTTTGTGATCATACAGAGCAGTACAAGAATGCCCTTGGAGATACAGATTGGGTTCAGAACCCAGTCATAATATTCATAGCAATAGTTTCCCAGTATATATAAAAGTATTATTTTTACCATATACTTTTATGTTTTCATATTATACTGTATAGATTATAACATTATGTCTAAAAGAACAATGTAGATGTATTAATTTAGGCTTTACTATTAAAACTGCCAGTGATTATTTGAGCCCCTTGGTGAATTGAGTTTTCATCTTTTGCTGATGGAGGATTTAGGTGGCTCTATGATGCTGGCTGCTAACTGATCAGGGTGGTTGTTTTTGAAAGTTGGACTGGTGGCAATTTTTTAAGAGGAGACAATGATGCTAGCTATATCACTTGAGTTGAGTCTTTTATGAAAGATCTCTTGGATCCATGTGATGCTGTTTGATAACACTTTGCCCGTAGTAGGTCTTTGTTTGAAATTAGTCAGTCCTCTCAGAAGGTGGCTCAGTGGTAGAGCGCTTGCCTTGCATGCATGAGGCCCTGGGTTCGATTCCTCAGCACCAACCACATAAGCAAAAAGAAAAAAGCCAGAAGTGGCGCTGTGGCTCAAGTGGTAGAGCGCTAGCCTTGAGCTGAAGAGCTGAGGGACAGTACCCAGGCCCAGAGTTCAGGTCCTGCGACCAGACCCCTCCCCCCCCAAAAAAAAAAGTTTTGTCATGAGGTTTCTGTAATTCTTATCTTCAAGGTACACTTTTAATTCTGTTATCATATCTGCTTCCTCCACTAAAGTCTTGAGTCCCCCAAAGTCATCCTTAGAATTAGAATCAGCATCTTTCAAACTGTTAATATTTTGACTTTCTCAATATTTTTACGAGTCATGATTTGCTGGTGGCGGGAGGTATGGGAAGAAGGAGCACAGTACTGACTAGAGTTTGAATTCAGGGCTTCAAGCTCTTACTCAGTTTTTCACTTATATCTTAGGCTCAACACTTTCACTTCTGGTTATTTAATGTTTAATTAAAGATAGGAGTCACTCAGACTTACCTACCTGGATTGGCTTCAAACCTTTTCAGATCTCAGCATGAGTCAAAGGTGCTTAGCTTACGAAGGTTCTTAATGGCATCTAGAATGGTAACTGCTTTGCAGATGATTTTCAGTTTTCCTTGCCCAAATTCACTAGATGAATCAGATGAATCACTGTGGCATCTTAGGAAATGTATTTTTTGGGGAGGGGGGTCCAGTCGTGGGGCCTGAACTCTGGGCCTGGGCGCTGTCCCTCAGCTCTTCAGCTCAAGGCTAGAGCTCTCCCACTTGAGCCACAGCGCCACTTCCGGCTTTTTTCATTTTGCTTATGTAGTGCTGAGAAATCGAGCCCAGGGCCTCACGCATGCGAGGCAAGCGCTCTACCACTGAGCCACCTTCCCAGCCCCAGGAAATGTATTTTTTAAGACTTGAAAGTCAAGATTACCCACTTTTGTACAGGCTAGGCTACAGAATGGATTTTGTGTTAGTAAGTATAAAAATAACATGATTCTTGTCATTCATCTCCATCAGAACTAAGGTGACCAGATGTATTGTCAGCAGTAATATTTTGAAGAAATCTAAGCTTAAAATACTCAGTAAAGCATGTTTTAAACAGATGTGCAGCCAACCATTTATAGAGCACAGGAAGAGTAGAGTCAGTATAATTCTTAAAGGCCATAGGATTTCTGTAGTGACAAATGAGCATCTACTTCAACTTAGTATAATGTTCAGCTGCATTAACTCCCCACAGAAAGCGGGACTATCTGTTGAAACTTTGAAGCCAGGCATTAACTTCTTTATAGGTTAGCTATAAAAGTCTTGGACCACACTAAAAATCTGTTAGTGTTGTTGCCGTCATCATTTGTCCTACTAGACCTCTGGCTAATTTGGTATACATTATGCAACTTTTCTATTGTAGGGACTGTTGCTGTCTTTTTTTTTGGGGTGGGGGGGTCCGGTCGTGGGGCCTGAACTCTGGGCCTGGGCACTGTCCCTCAGCTCTTCAGCTCAAGGCTAGCGCTCTACCACTTGAGCCACAGCACCACTTCCAGCTTTTTTCTTTTTGCTTATGTGGTGCTGAGGAATCGAACCCAGGGCCTCATGCATGCAAGGCAAGCACTCTACCACTGAGCCACCTTCCCAGCCCAGGACTGTTGCTTTCTTAAACCTTGTAAACCATCCTAAGGGGCATTGTTTTATTCTTAAAGTAGAATTATTAATCCATTACAGTGTAGCTATTGAACCTAAGATATTTAGCATGTGTAAACGTGGCCAGCATGGCATAAGCTGCCACAGAGCTATATCCCAGGCCTTAAAGTAATTATTTTGTAGTGGTTCTCATTTTCTCTTTCTAAATTATTAATACCTTTCTAAGTCATTAATCTTTTTTGCTAGTTTCCAGTTTTGATATTGGGAAATGAGTGTTCCGATTCTTAACACTGCCAAGTGCCAAGTGAAGGATCTTTAAGACTTTCTTAGATCTTTGACATTTGTTGGTAGATTTTTCAATATTGAGAGTATCTACCAGGTGATATTTCTCTTCTGCATTTATAAATTCCTCTCTTTTGGCAGGAATTTTGTCTTTTCTTATTTATTTTTGTTTTTCAAGTACTATAACATATGTGTTTAATGTGTTTTTTTTCTTTAGTTGCCTTTCCCCATCTTACTGGTTCTGCTCCTTCATGGCCTAGTCTTGTGGACACCACCAAGCAGTGGGACTATTATGCAAGAAGAGAGAAAGACCGCGATAGAGAAAGAGACAGAGACAGAGAACGAGATCGTGATCGGGACAGAGAACGAGAACGGACCAGAGAAAGAGAGAGAGAACGTGATCACAGTCCCACACCAAGTGTCTTTAACAGGTTTGTTGAGTGTTAAATAATTTTGTATGCATGCATTTCACTTACGCTTTTGACATTCTGTTTATCCGAGGAATTCAGTTCCAGTTGACTTGGAAAAGGCACTCTTAACAAATACTTAGAAGCCCCATTTTAAAATGAGCTCTCAGAGGTTTGCCTTTATCAAAAGCAAATCTTTGAATTTGTTTACTTATCCCATAAAAGAATTTTGTACCTCCTCACAAATTTTTTAGCTGTCATCTAAAATTTTTCATTTGATTGCTGAACTATCATCCTTTGTAAATTTTTAAAAGATGTTTTTGCTGGTACCAGAGCCTTGTGCTTTTACCAGCTTAATCTTGCTGGCACTTTATCACTTAAGCCACTCCGCTAGCCTTTCCTTTTCTAGTTAATTGGAGATGGAGTCTTGAGAACTTTAATGCCCAGACTGGCCTCAAACCATGATCCTCAGGTCTCAGCCTTGTAAGTAGCATGAGCCACTGATGCTTGACTTATCATTAAAAAAAATGCATATAGATATCTTTGCCAGTTGTAAATTTCATATTTTTATGCTTGAATTTCATTTCTGTGCCATTTCCCTAAAAATCTTGAAAAAATTTTAATTGTCCTTTTTTTGGTAATGTACCTAATAAGACATCTAAAAAATTTTTTTTGCTCCTGTGTCTCATGTTCAGAATTTTACCTTGTTTTCACTTATTTTGTGGATACATATACTGAAGAATTTGAATAGAACAGCATCCCTTTAATGCAATGGAGAAGCTTTCTCTTCTTTAGTTAATATATGATCAATGGATGAGTATTGTCATTGCAAAAATAGGATTTGCTATTAACTAATATTATTAATATATAGAGATAAACATGGAGAAACCTTGTCATATAAATTAGGTCTGTCCTAAACCGCCATTTTAATCTGGCTATTTTCAGAAGATCAAATCATTTTAATTTATTTTTGTAAAGACCCTCGCTTCTCAGTAAGATCACCTTTCTAGATAGCAGAAGTTAAGACTGAACCTTTCTGATAGACACAGTCAATCCTGTTGTGCATTTGGTAACTGAAGACTTGTGTTTTCTAAGTTTCTGTAAGAACACCAGAAGTACTTTGCCAAGATTTACGAAAAGCCTACCCTTTTTATTTGTTACCCTTTAATTTAAAGACAGATTAAGCCATGCTAAGAACAAAATAGTATTGATTTTAACAAATATTGGTTAAAAGCATTTTAAAAACGCCACTTCTATATGTATTAAAAAGTTGACTTCATGTAGATCTTGGAACTGCACATTTTCTCTCATTTCAATCTACTGAAACAACAGTAATATAATTTAACAATGAGAAAAAATTTCTTATTGTTACATCAGCTAGCCAAATCACACTCAGTTTCAATCAGAGCAAAGTCAATAGAATTTTGTATTTTGTGAATTATACCAGGAAATTGAATTTTACTATGGAAAATTAAGTGAAATAAAGACTGGCAAAAGTGTCAATAAAGCAATATGTACATAGGTTGGATTATAAATTTATAGGGTCATTGTTTTGAAAATTACAGATCAGGTTTAACACCTGTTTTTTAGATAGCTTAACTGTGGGCCTGAAAGAAAGTCATTCTAAGATGTTTGGAATGAAGTCTAATAATTTCAGGCATAGAGAAACCTTAGGCTACAGCCACTGCTCAGAAAGGCAATGGAAGGCGGTCTTTATGTCTTGGGCAGGACCAACTATGCAACACTCTCTTGTAAGGTCCTTATCATGGTTGCCTTCAGAAGGGCCAAAGCCAATGAAGAGTTGTTTTAAGAGTTAGGGGTGAAATGAAGGCTACAAATGACATATTATTAGATTACTTTTAGTTATTTTTATGTAAGTCATTATAAAGTCATTATAAAGAGCCTCATTTGCTGCTGTGCTAATTCTACTTCAATGACTATTAAAAAGCTAAAAACTTACAGAAAATGTTCTGCTTCGGAAAAATTATCAAATTTGCTAAATATTTTTATTATCTACTCTTAGTGTCTGTGTGTTTGTGCACCAGTATTGTGACTCGAACTCAAGAGCCTTGTGCCCTCCTGCTTTTGACTGCACTTTACCACTGGAGCCACACTTTTACTTCGGGTTTTCCAATGGTGAATTGGATATAAGAATTTCTCAAATTTGCTTCAAATCTTGATTCTCTTAGCATCTTGAGTACCTAGGATTATATGCATGTGCCACTAGTATTGGTGTTTCCATATTCTTAGAACATATAGCTGCCTCATACAATTTTTATTAAACATATTCCTAGAAACCACATCTTTTCAGCATATTGTTTTAAAAGTGAGTTCATTCTAAGTGAGATAATTACTGATAGTAGGTTTAGAAAATATTGACTTGTATTTAAATAAGAAAAGGAAAGAACCAGGTGTTGTGGCACATTCCTCAGCATTTCAGCCATTAAGGTAAGAGGATTATCAGTTCAAGTTAGCCTGGGCTACATGGTGAGACTGTTTCAAAAAACATGATGGATGATGAGGGACAGATTTAAGGAGGTAAAGAAAAACCACCTTCTTACAATGATTAGTTCCTGTTTTATTAGTCTTTGTAATTCCATTCAAAGAATCAGAAAATAGAGCTGCAACGTACACTTATCTTTTCCATGCCCTAACACACAAAGATGTGTGGTATGAAGTGATGGTATATCCAATCTTTGGGCATCCTGTACAGGTATTGTAGAAGGTGATTTGATGTTCCTATTTTGGTTTATTATTATTATTATTTATTGAACTCTGATGACTGTAGTACTCTGTATTGTTGATAAAGTAGAGGCTTAAGAATCTTTATCTGCTTTCTACCTTGTAGCCATTGTGAGCCATATATTCTTAGGATCTTCACTAGGCTTTGCAAATAAGAATTTTTGTAAGAAATCTGGAATATGTTTTTAATTCTAAACTAATAGCAAAAGAAAATGAAGCTGTTGATTTAAATTTATATAGGAAATAAAAATGCAAAATATTATTATGAACTATCTATGGCTTAACAACTTTGAAAGCAATAGAGGGTGTGTAATGTGTAATTGTTATACTTTAAAAACTTTTTTTTGGGGGGGCGGTCCGGTCATGGGTCCTGAACTCTGAGTCTGGGCGCTGTCCCTCAGCTCTTCAGCTCAAGGCTAGCACTCTACCACTTGAGCCACAGTGCCACTTCTGGCTGTTTTCTTTTTGCTTATATGGTGCTGAGGAATCGAACCCAGGGCCTCATGCATGCAAGTCAAGCGCTCTACCACTGAGCCACCTTCCCAGTCCCTTAAAAACTTTTTATTAAGTATTTGTACAAAGAGGTTTCAATGCTATTGTCTTTTTTTTTTTTTTTTGTGGTCGGTTGTGGGGGCTTGAACTCTAGCCTGGGCACTGTCCCTGAGCTCTTCATCTCAAGGTGAGTGCTCTGCAGCTTGAGTCACAGCACTACTTCCAGTTTTCTAGTGGTTTGTTTGAGATAGGAGTCTCATGGACTTTCCTGCTCAGGCTGGCTTTGAACCACAATCCTCAGATCTCAGCCTCCTGAGTAGCTAGGATTACAGGCGTGAGACACCAGCACCTGGCTCAATTCTATGGTCTTTAAAGTTATTAATGTAGAGGCTTCTGTTTGACTTGAGAACCTCTTCCTGCACAGTTTTCAGTCATTCAGAATTAGTAGTTCAGGTGTCAAGAAAACTTGTTTCCATTTTGATTGCAGTGATGAGGAACGATACAGATACAGGGAATATGCAGAAAGAGGCTATGAGCGTCACAGAGCAAGTCGAGAGAAAGAAGAACGGCATAGAGAAAGACGACACCGAGAGAAGGAAGAAACAAGACACAAGTCATCCCGCAGGTTTGCTCTTTAATAAAATACCGCAGCCATTTCAAGCCAGAGAAAACGGATTTGAAAGTGAAAGCAATAATTTCCAAATAGCCTCCAGAACACCCGTGTTTTCATTGGAAGTTTTAGAATAATCTGTTGAAATCCGTTAAGTACTTCAACAAAGGTTTTTAAAAATTAGTAAGACTGTATTTCATTTAATACTCAGAAAAGGAAAATTAGCCTGGGATAATAATCATAGAATTTGACTCATTCTACTATCTCATTAGCAGAGGAGGAAATTTAGTATATGAACCAAATCCTAATAGTATAAAAGTATTTTGGTTCAAAGAAAAAATTTAGGGCCAATATATTCAGAAAAAATTATAATTGAATTTTAATGTCTACTTGAAGAAAATGGACACTATAAAATAAGTACCTCTTAATTCTGACATAGTGCTTCAATTTCTAGTTTATAATTTGTCTTTTAGAATAAATAGGCACTGGGAATTTGAGGTAATACTGGTAAAGATGATCCTATTGCATATTTCTACATGAAAGTCTCAAAAATTGATTACTTTCTAAAATGTATTTATGAGAAAGTAATGCAGTAGGCTATACTATGTCCAATGTTATCTTGAGGATTCACTTAGCAGATTTAGATTATGATACCAATTATGTATTTAAACACTTTAAAACAGAACGTATTTTATTTTCCAGTAATAGCAGACGTCGCCATGAAAGTGAAGAAGGAGACAGTCACAGGAGACACAAGCACAAAAAATCAAAAAGAAGCAAAGAAGGAAAAGAAGCTGGCAGTGAACCTGCTCCTGAACAAGAGAGCACCGAAGCTGCACCTGCAGAATAGGCAAGATTTTTGCCCCTTGTATATTAATCCCAGAAATAGATAAATATAAATCTCATTATTTTTCTGGATAATGTTTAAGAAATTTGCCTTTAATCTTGTTCTGTTAGAATGAAAAGTTAATTTTTTTCAAAATAAAAAGAGTGAAAATTTCATGTTAAGTTAAAAATCTTTTGTCTTGTAATATTAAAAAAAAAGACAGCGATTGACTTCATGTCGAAGAAAGTAAAGTGAATGAGTATCTTAGAGGATTTAAAGAGCTGTGTTGTTATGTATATGCACAGTATCTAATGAAGGACAAGGACCCACCTCAGCTACAGTTTTGTTATTATTGGTCAGATACCATTCTCTTTTGAGGTTGTACTGCAAAAGGGACCCTCTCAAGTCTTGATATTAAAACTAATGGTCATTACCGCCATGGCACCTGCATATTAGCCTGTCAGAGTTCTTCAATATAGTTTTGGTATCCCAACTTTTGAAAGATTTTAAAACTTGGAACTAAATAAGACATTTTTTATATCCAAATTACTAAGATCTATCAAGTGGTATTTGGGTGGCCACTGCAATATAACTTCTCACATGTCTAGTTTCTAGCAGGCATACATACAGACACGTCACTGTAACACAAAGCTGAACCAGCATGGCTGTCTCACCCATTCTTGTGTTTTCCAAGACTTATTGGTAGCATAATAGATGGAGTTTATATTGTGAATTAAAAACGTACTTACAAGTTTTAGTCATTTCCTATTAAAACTAAGAAAATAGAAGTTTATAATACCAAACGAATTTGAGAGAGAACCTTACAGGTGTTATACATACATGAGGTAGCACATAACTGCTGGGATCTTTAAAATGGTGAAAGAAGTACATTTAACTAGAATCACATATAAAGACAGGTGTAATTTTTGAAAAACATTTATTTCTCATTTGGTGAAAGGAACATTTCTCATTGATGCAGTAAAAAAAAAAAATCCTCTGGCTTTAAATTAAAATGCCCATGATATACTTTTTTGTAGAGCCAAATTTCAATTTAAGTTGGTGATTTTAATTCAGTGGGCATACAAACTATTTTATTGTTTAAAGGCATTTTGTAGAAAAATATAAACTTAAAAGTTGTGGATGAGAAATCTTCCACACTGAATAAAAACTACAAGTAGGTTTTATTTTTTGAGAATATTGTTTGAATATAACTGACTTTCTTTAGATCACACCTTTCCTCACATTTTTTTATAGTGCGTTCTTTAAATATAAAAATTGACAAGATAAATATATTGTTTCCACTTAGCCTATTTGTGATTTTTCTGTTTTTCTAAGACTCAATCATTGACCTTATAAAAAAGTACCAGGCCAAGAAACAATAGTGAGAGTAATTCTCCCTTTAAGTTCTTTCAGCATTCTTGCCAAGCAAGCATGTACCATGCCTGATGTACTTCTACCATTGACAGCAAGAAGAATATCACCGCATCTAAAAAACAAAACAAGATATGTGATCAGTATTTCACTTCATAGTTGAAGTTAATGTAAGTTTATTTTGGTGGTTCTAGTTTTTGCTACAGTGGTCTATTTTAACTGCATTACTTCCAAGTAAAGATTAAATTTTACAAACTTACTATTCATTTGGCTTCTGTTAGAAGGAATATTAAAGTATTAGGAAGTTGCATTTTGGAACCAAGAAAGGACATGCTTTTGAATCTATTAGACATTAAATGCTACCCAAATGTTTAAATTTCTAACTTCCTTTAAAAAAATGAAAGTACAGTAAATATGTGTTCTTTGAAAGGGGCCAAACTTTTGCATATAGAAAAAACTTCTTTGAATATAAGTTTTTAATAGTCATTAGTACCTAATTCTTCCATCATTATATGCTGGGGTTCCTTCGACAATAGATTTGATAAAGAAAGGCTTGTTCCCATTGTACTCTTCATAACCTCCTACGATGCAGAAGCCCAGACTTCCAGCCGTGTTTCTTCTTAATATGACATCCTTACAGTTGTATAAGTACCTGAAAGAGTATATGTAATCAGTCAATATGTACAGTTAAATATTAGTTGTGATTCATCTCCCATTCCTTTCATTGGAATTTGTTTAGGCCAAGTATTTTGTATTTGGTCTTCTGTTTTCCATACTTGAGCCCTCCTCAACAAAGTGATTATAACTATTATGTCTGTTTATGTGTATCTACTGGAAAAGATAACCATGTGTTTGGCTTAAGGACATCCTAATGCTTGAATTTCTATTAGCCAAAAGTTGAGTACATCTAAATCCTTACTGATAAGCCAAAGTGAAATATACTGAGGGATCATGTTTTTGTGAATAAAAATTTTTAATGAAGGCAACAGTCCTTTTAATAAGTGATTCATTTCAACAAAAAGAAACCTGTGCTATTAATGTAGAATTTTTGATCTTTGAAAAACACTAGTTTATACTAATAAAGCTTAGAAAAGCAGGCAGTCATAAAGTGAATGGAAACCGAGACATATGTAAGACTATCACAACCATTCATGTAGGTGGAAAAAAACAAACTAGCATAAATGGAGAACTGCGAGTTACAAAAGGGCTAGGAGAATGAAAGACCATAGGTCTTGTATAAATTATTAGAATCCTCAAGGACAATGGACATAAAAATTGAAGTTCTGTTACTATTCAGTTGTCATTGGATCAGTGTTCACATTAGTGCTGGCTAGTGTGAATTGTTTTCCAGGTCCCAGAGAGAGAGGTGTCTAGGCCTGAGTTTTGCTTTAACATCCCTTGTCTGCCATATGTGTGGCTGATTCTAGGGACTGAGGATGGGAGGTTAGCATTTTCATGTTGGTAAAATCAAGATAATGGCAATTCTGTTAATAGACTGTACCTAAAACATTCAATCTAACTGTTTTTTGACAACAATAAAAAGTTTCTTGTGAAATATTAAGTGATAAAGTTGGTCATTATATTTGCTACTGACATTTCTTCTATATGTAACAACTATTTTCATATTTTTGCTGACTCAGAATAAAACAAGCTTTTAAGATTTGGTAAATATTTTTAAGATGTGTTATACTAAATTCAGCTTTATACCCAGTTTGTGTCCATTGTCATAACAAACACACATAAAATTTACAACCATCAGTTCATTTCACCAAAATGATAGCAAATATCAGGAATTTTATTAACAACAATAACAAAAATAGCTTTTTTTGTTTGTAGGTGATAGTCCTGGGGCTGAACTCAGGGCCTACATGTGTGTCTTAGTTTTTTTTTTTTTTTCCTCAAGGCTTAGTGCTCTACCAGTTGAGCCAGCTTTTTGTGGTTAATTGGAGTTAAGAGTCTCATGGACTTTCCTGCCTAGCTGGCTTGGAACAGCAATCTTCAGATATCAGCCTTCTGAGTAGCTAGGATTACAGGTGGGAGCTACTGGTGCCTGACCCCAAAAAGAGTACCCTGTTTTTTATTGCAAAACATTGGTCTTTTTACACAGTAAACCTTAACAAGGTAGAAAAGGACATGCCTGTTATTCTTTAGGAAGTTAGATGAATAAGCTACATAGACATTATTGCTGTATAAAGCAGAACTAGAGATCACAGGAAGTGCATGGGGAAACCATTCCATACTAAATCGCAAGTCAGCACCACCACACACTTAGGTGTTGCCACAAAGAAATGAGTGCTAGCCTCTTTGCAATTTTTTAAATTATATTTTTATCTTTAAGTAGATGTACTATTCATCAAATCAGTTTATGAATACAGTGCATCTCTGCAGTTCTTCTAAGTTCTACGCTGCATTGTCCTCCAGTTCCTCTTTCCCTACCTCATCTCTCCCCTCTATTTCTCCAACATTCTTTCATACATCTCCCCTTACTCTCAGGTTCTAGATTATTGTCCTTTGTACTATTTCTGTACCATGTCAATTTTATTCCATTTGGGGGCTTTTGTATTAACTGAACTCCCTCCCTGGAATACTCTACTCCACATGACTAGCTACTTCCCATTTCAGGTCATAGGATAATTATCATCTCTTTACAGTCCTGTCTTAAGCAACCTGGACCAAAAAGAAACACACACACACACACTCTCTCTCTGTCTCTCTCTCTGTCTCTCTCTCTCTCCAGAGGAAAAAAATTCTGAAGAATAAGACACTAATAATTAGTGATCTGGAAGGACTGGAGATGGGGATCAGAGTGGAATGCCTGCAAAAGGGAGATGGGGGGGCGTGGCTATGTGTGTTACTGTTCCTTACAGAGATAAGATCATGATGATGGGAAAATGCTAAGGTAAAATAAAGCAAAAAGGGAGTCTAACGTGTCCACTGGATTCATTCATCAACAGGTTACTGGTGATACTGATAATGTGGCAAAAACAGGCAAGAGAGAAAAGATAGATGCATTGAGTGAAGTGAGAAGTAGACAGAGCAAGTGTCAATCACTTTTAACCTAGGAGGAACTTGAGCATGCTGTACTGGTATGATAAAGCAGCAGACGGAGGTACTGATGACCATAGAAAGAGAGGAAGGATGATCTCAGAAGACAGGAGAGGGGGAAAATGTGCTAGGAGAAACTCCTTTCATGCTTCTAAGAAGGATAGAGGAAAACTGGTTATGGAACTGGAGAAAATAGGTATGAATGTAGAAAGTCAAGTAGATGTACTCCAAAGATGCTGGATTTTAGCTTGTAAAATGGTGAATTTATCTGCTGGTCAAAAGAGTAGATGGAATGTTGGAGGTTTAAGTTATGCAGAATATGTAGGACACAGGTACTGAAGAGAATGGGAGCAGAATGCTGTCATGGAAAATGTCATAGGTGCCAGTGGCTCATACCTGTAATCCTAGCTACTTGGGGCTGAGATCTGAGGATTGCGGTTCAAAGCCAGTCCAGACAGGAAAATCCATGAGATTCCTATCTCCAATTAACCACCAGAAAACTGGAAATGGCATTGTGGCTCAAAGTAGTAGAGTTCTAGCCTTGAGTGAAAAAGCTCAGGGATAGCACCCAGCCCTAAGTTCAAGCCCCACAACCAGCCCCAAAATAAAGATGTCATAGGGATATGGCTAGCATTGTAAGCCCACCTGGAGGTACTTATTGAATTTAAGAGGTAAGTTAATGGATTTTCACAGTACCAAATTGGGCTTAGAAAGTGGGAAATAAATATTCAAAGCCAGTTGAAGTGATTGCCCACTGCATCTAAGTGAGAAAAGATGAAAGTAAAAATAAGAAGTTCATTTATTTCCAATGGATTAATACTTAGATCTGATTTCTATAAAACAGGATCATCAAGTGTACAAGGGTTCTTAAGATGGTAAACTTTGAGAAACGCTGCTGTAGATATTAGAGTTGAATGTCCCACTGGTATTACAAACAGCATGTTCAAATGACTAATAGCCCTCTTAATTACTGTAGCAAAGCAATTGTGCTAATGACCCCAATTCTCCACCTTTCTCTGGCGTCAGTGTTCCTTATCAAATAATTTTTGAAGTGTCTCCCCTCTGATTTCAGGCTCAACAGTAGAAAATCAGTAGCCAGCGTGCACACACACACACACACACACACACACGTAGCCAGCGCGTGTGCACGCATACGCACACACAATATCATGGCCATCCAATATCAGCACTACTCAAATGACCCAACACCAGAGCTCTGTTGCATGGGACAGCCAGAGAGCCAGGACTGGCCAAGCATAGTATGGGTCAGTTGAACCCCTGAGAGTCATGCACAAAATTGCACATGCTACTCACATGCAATTGGTTTTTGAGGCACAATTGTAATAATATTCTTACTTTCCTCTAAATTCTGTAATCAGAGGAAATTACCATCATTGACTTCAGTATCTTTCCAAGGGTGCCAAAATACCATGTGCCAGAACCTCCAGGAAAGTTTAGTAATTCATAATTCATAACTTCACATGATGTACTACAGCATTTTTTTTGCCCACTAGATTATAATGGTGTTCCTTAGTATATAATATACTGCTTTAGTATTTCATTCCAGAGATGCTTAAGTAGAAACATTAGGCATACCTTTATCTTTTCCTTCTATCTTCCTGTTCCTTTTCATCATTTGTTTTGAGAGAGATTTTTGTTGTATCTAGCCCAGATTGGCCTGGAACTCATTCTGTACCCCAGAATGGCCTCAAACACAGTATCTTCCTTCCTCAGCTTCCCAAATGCTGGGATTTTAGTTATGTATCACCACTCAGCTGTTTTGTGGTAGGTGTTACAGAAATACATTTAAATAAATTTGCTCTTGAAATAATTTGGCTATGAGTAATTCATTTGCTTTTTTTTTTTTTTAATTTTGTTTTGGGGTCCGTTCGTGGGGCCTGAACTCTGGGCCTGGG